TCCTAACTTTAGTGTTTTGTGGCTATTGTGCGTTTTGTTGTGACTTGTGGGTTAGCAGTACTTTGGTTAAATGCCTTTGGCATTGTAATGATTACCAGCAGGTTATTTGCTTGCAAGGGGCAATGTAATCTTTTGTGTGAAGCTTTAATAGCTTGATGGTTGGAGCTTTTGCCCACTTGTGTGGTATTGCAGCTATTTTGTGTCACAAGCCACTTTGTCAGCCTTGGGCTGTTGGACCCACTTAGTGTAGTTGGTTTTGTGTTGAGCCCCATTTGTGTTGATTCAACGTTGCTTTTGAAAGATGGCAACAGTTGATGATTTTCTGAAAGAGCCTAGCGAAAAGCAGCTTGAAGGTTTTACAAAAGAACAACTCCTTCAGTTAGCGTCTTGCTATGAAGTTGAGCTCTCTACTGAGGATAAAAAGCTAAAACAGACTACAAAACTTGCCATTATACAAGAACTTGTTGCAAAGGGCATTTTTAAGTCAACTTCACTTCCAGAGGTTGAATTTGTAATGCCTAAATTACCTGTGATGTCTGAGGCAGCTATTGAGTTAAGGCATAAGGAGTTGGCATTAAAGGAGAAGGAGATGGAAAGAGAATTTGCACTGAAAGAAAAGGAAATGTTGTTGAAACATGAACGTTTCATGAGAGAGTTAGAGATGAAGCAAGTTCTTTAACAACAAAGCCTGAGTTTGATGTAGCTGGCCACATGAGACTGGTTCCTCCTTTCCATGAAAAGGATGTTGAACAGTATTTTCCTCTTTTTGAACATGTTGCTATCACTTCAAAATGGCCAAAACAATTTTGGACACTACTCTTACAGAGTGTACTTGTTGGCAAAGCTTGGGAAGCTTATTCTTCTCTGAGTGTTGAACAAAGTTCAGATTATGACTTGATAAAAAAAGAAATTCTGAAAGCATATGAGTTGGTTCCAGAAGCCTATCAGCAACAGTTTAGGAGTTGTACAAAGCCAGAACAGCAAACCTATATGGAATTTGCAAAACAGAAGACAACTCTGTTTGACCAGTGGTGCTTATCTAAAAACATAGAGTCCAAGGAACAACTTTGTCAGCTCATGTTGCTTGAAGAATTTAAGAGCTGTATACCAGAGGCAGTGTGTGTTTATCTAAATGAACATGAGGTGAAAACCCTGGATGAAGCTGCCATTCTTGCTGATGAGTTTGTCCTCACTCATAAAACCTATTTTGGAGAACAAACCAGAGGTAGGTGTGCTCCATAAGTTGCAACCATCCAGTCGAAGCTTTGTGCCATTGTCAGGTTCCAGAAGGTCTAATTCTGATTCTTTATCAGAGAGGCTGTGTTTCTGTTGTAAGAAATCTGGACATCTTGTTGCTGACTGTCCTACTTTAAAAGGAAAAAAGAAGGCCTGCTAAACCAATTGCTTTTTTGAAGTCTGTTAAAGACAAAAATATTGTGCCACCAAGTGTTGCTGTTCCTAACAAAGAGTTGGTTGGTTCTTCATCCTTTTTAACTGATGGTTCAGTATCTCTAGTCTCTGACTGTAGAACTACTTGCCCTATTAAAATATGGTGAGATACTGGAGCTTTTCAGTCAGTAATGCTTAAAGATGCACTTCCTTTTAATGAAGACTCATTTTTGGGTACATATGCTTTAGTGAAAGGGTTTGGTGTGGGATTTCTAAATTTACCCTTGCACAAAGTTAATCTAGATACTGACTTGGTTTCAGGTAAGGTGGTTGTTGCTCTCTCTTCACAACTTCCCATTGATGGTATCTCATTGCTTCTTGGAAATGATCTAGCTGGTGGTAAAGTTTTTGTTACTCCAAAAGTAACATCTGAACCACAAATAGTTTCTACTCCTGATGAGTTGGAGCAGACCCATCCAGATGTTTTTCCTGTTTGTGCTGTTACCCGTGCCATGTCCAGAAAAGTGAAAGATAAGATAAAGACACCAGAGTCTTGTGATGTAAATCCTTCTGATACTTTTATGGCTGGAGGTAACTTTGATCTGACTGGATTTGCTAAAAACATGCCCACACATGATCAGCTGGTGTCAGAGCAAGTCTGATCCTACTCTGATTACTCTTTATGAAGAGGCTGAGTCAGAGGATACCATTGGTGAAAAAACTTGTGGTTATTTCCTAAGTAATGGAGTATTGATGAGAAAGTGGACTCCCTTTAACATGTCCAGTGAGGATGATTGGAGCAGTGTATTTCAAATTGTGGTTCCATCATGTTTTAGAAATGAAATACTGTGCTTGGCTCATGACCATTGTCTTTCTGGTCATCTTGGAGTCAGGAAAACTTGGGATCGTGTGGTGAGACACTTCTACTGGCCTGGTATAAAGTCAGATGTATCGCAGTACTGTAGAATGTGTCATGTGTGCCAAGTAGTTGGCAAACCAAATCAGAAGTTTCCTGTTGCTCCTCTATCCAATTCCTGCCATTGGGGAGCCATTTGAACGTGTATTGATTGATTGTGTTGGACCTCTCCCACGTTGTAAGTCAGGTAACCATTATCTTCTGACCATCATGTGTACAGCAACCAGATTTCCTGAAGCTATTCCTTTGAGAAAAGTTACAGCATCAACRATTTCTAAAGCTTTAGTTAAGTTCGTTACATTATTTGGCTTGCCAAAGATGGTTCAGTCAGATCAGGYCTCAAATTTCATGAGCCATACCTTTTCTCAGGTTCTCCAGCAGTTGTCAATCCAACATTGTACCTCATCAGCATACCATCCTGAATCTCAAGGTGCATTAGAGAGATTCCATCAAACTCTCAAAAACATGTTGCGGGTTTACTGCCTAGAGTTTGAGAGGGACTGGGATGAGGGGATTCCTCTGTTGCTTTTTGCAGTCAGAGAGGTAACTCAGGAGTCCACAGGTTTTAGTCCAGCAGAACTTGTTTTTGGTCACACTGTAAGAGGCCCTTTGAAACTCCTTAAAGAAAAATGGTTGTCTTGTGAGTCCACTCCTGTGTCTAATCTGTTAGATTATGTGAGTGAGTTTAGGTTTAAATTTACAAGAGCTTGTGAGCTTGCAAAAGAAAACTTGTGTGCAGCTCAAAGAAAAATGTAGAGTTGGAATGACAAAAAGGCTAAACAGTGTTCATTTTCTCCAGGAGATCAATTTCTTGCATTGTTGCCAATGCCTGGGTCTGCTTTACAGGCTCAGTACAGTGGACCARATGTTATTGAACGGCAAGTTGGTCCTTGTGATTATTTGGTTAAAACTCCTGATCGAAGGCGTAAGTKTCGTTTATGTCGTCTATCTGCTGAGACCCTATTTTGATCATAGTCAATCTAGTTCACAGGAGATTAAGCCCATTGCAGTGCTTAGGCCTGCCCGTCCTGTGTTTGATGCACCCAGTGATAAAGTCTGCTGCACCGATTTGGAGTTTGATTCAGGAGTCATTTCTCAGGTTAGGTTGTCAAACTCTGAGATTTTGGCTAATCTTGACTCTAAGCTTTCCTACTTGAAGCCTCCTGAGTTAGCTGATATTATTCAGCTAGTGGAGCAGCATCTTGCTCTGCTTTCAGGTGTGCCACTTTTGTTTTACACAGATCATAACCCTCTGGTCTTTTTCAGCAGCATGAAAGGCTCCAACCAGCGGCTGCTGTGATGGAGTTTATTTCTACAAGGGTATGACCTGAAATTTTGCCATATTCGTGGTCGGGACAATGGGCCTCATGCAAGAACGTGTTCGTATTCTTATCCTAAATTTCTCTTACTTTTGTTTGTACAAAGGGTTCGTACGAACATGCCACAACAAACTCTTCTATCTTCAGGAAAAGTGTGTAAATGAGCTGCGTAAATTACACCTGTTCGTATCCAGCTGCTCGTGCACGCGAGACGAGATTAGCATAATTACCACCCCAAAAACACCATATAAGGC